TAATAATAATTTCGGAGTTACGTATTTATGACCGCCTTAGTATGGAGGAATCCGAAGGCTCCTATTCATCACTGGAAAAGTCCTGCCGGCGCCTGGCAAAGAATACATGTCTTTTTCGCAGGCCCAATATCTGGATTCCAGCTACTCATAGTTGTAGATGCCTTCTCCAAATGGGTGGAGATAATACCCACAAAAACAACTACGAGCTCATTCTGTACACAGACATTAGATGAATTGTTTGACACATTTGGGTTCCCGTATGTTTTGGTGTCCGAGAATGGAAGACAATTTGTATCTCAGGAATTCGAGAATTTTTTGACCAATAACGGCATCGTACATAAAACCCTACCACCCAGCTACCAACGGGCAAGCAGAACGTTTTGTACAGACCATTAAGAAGGCATTGCATAAATTAGAGGGGGAGAGTGGCGGAATATTACACAAAGTCCGGACAGTCAAAACTCTACTTCGGGCCACCCCGGTCAACTCTGGGAACTCACCATATATGCTTATGTTTGGACGACAAATAAGAACTAGGCTAGCCGCGAAGATCCGTGCGCGACCAAAGTCTGAACCCCGACTTGGTATCATTGTGAGAGAGTTCTTACCAGGGAGCAGAGTTCAAGCTCGTAACTACTCCATACCTGGGAGCAAGTGGGAGTTCGGTAGAGTGACCCGTCGTCTCGGAAACCTACATTACCAGATCGAAACTGAGGACGGCCGCATCTGGATCCGCCACCTGGACCAGCTGCTCCCGGCTCCAGGGATTCTTGGGAATCACGGCGGAGGTGTGTATACATAGACATAGACCAACTCCGTCGCCTGGATACGGTGGTTGACATGTTTGACTTGTCACTTGAAAATATATGGATATGATCGAGTAATGCTTTTGCATTTCAATAATATTATATATATTAATAATTAATACTTTGTTAATCCAATTACTACGACTTTCATTTTTACACATTACATTTATTACACACACACATATATTATATATATATATATAT